CAGGGCATTACTCGGACTCCATTTCGGCGTTACTCCGACACTGAACTTGATGAGAAGAGATGTCATGGAGTGTGTTTTCATTGTGATGAGAAGTATTTTTCGGCCATCGCTGTAAAAATCTTGAGCTCCAAGTCATTGTAACGAAAGAGGGGGAGGAATTTGAGTTACCACCAGATGAGGAATGGGATATGGAAGGGATTGATCCGTGCTAACAGCTCGAAGTCGCAGTGTTGTCTCTTTAATCGGCGGCATGCTTTACATCTCCTTCGACCCTCATGGTTGAAGCATCAAGAATCAGCCGGTGGTAGTCTAGGTTGACACCGGCGTAACCCACAATTTCATCGCTCTCCATGTGCTCGACAAAATACGCATCAGATCGGCGACTATGACTAGATATGGGGTTTCTCTGGGAAGGGGGTTGACTATTCAATTTGTGGGGATTTGCAAGGCAATACTCCTACGTATTCATAATCTAAATATTGTGGTTGATTTTCTACCTTTGGAATTGGGGAGTGCTGACGTGATTTTAGGCATCCAATGGCTCCAGACGCTAGGGAGGTTTCAAATCGATTTTCAGAAATTAGAGATGTAGTTTTTCACGGGGGCAGACAGAGGTAATTCTAAAAGGTAATCCTCACCTTTAACATCACTTATTACCTTGAAATCTCTTATGAAATCAGTGGCGGACATTGAAGAAGGATTTTTGGTGGAATTTACTCTGATTCTGCAAGATCTATCTACGCCAGATGATCCTCCTATCATTGAAACACAGTTACTGGGCCAATTCATCCATGTATTTGATGAGCCTTCCAAATTACCTCCTTCTAGAGGGAACGATCACAGGATTCTCCTCAAAGTTGATGCTGGTCCGATCAGTGTACGTCCGCATCGGTATTCACATGCCACAAGGAGGAAATTGAGCAGTTGGTGCGTGAAATGTTAGGTGCAGGCATTATCCAACCAAGTAACAATCCTTTTTCCAGCCCGATGTTACTAGTTAAGAAAAAAGATGGGAGCTGGCCTTTTTGCGTGGATTACTGGGCGCTCAACAAGGTCACAATACCCGACAAGTTTCCCATTCCGATGATAGACCAATTGTTGGATGAGTTGTTTGGAGCGACAATTTTCTCCAAATTGGACTTACGCTCGGGCTATCATCAGTTTCGCATGTGCCAGGAGGATGTACACAAGATTGCCTTTAGAACACATGATGGTCATTAAGAATTTCTCGTCATGCCATTCAGGTTGACAAACGCCCTAGCTACTTTTCAGGCAACTTTGGAGGATCATATCTGTCACTTGAGTGAGTTTCTGTCAGTCTTAGCCACTCACAATCTGTTCGCTAATCGCAAGAAGTGTCAGTTTGGCAGCGCACAAGTCGAATATTTGGGACATGTGATCAGTAAGGATGGGGTGCTCACAGATCCTACCAAGATTGTTGCAATGAGGGATTGGCCTTATCCGAAGAATGTCAAGGAATTACGGAGTTTCCTTGGTTTGACGGGGTACTATAGACGGTTCATCAAACATTATGGAATTCTCGCTCGACCATTGACAGAATTGCTCAAAAAGGAAAGCTTTGTCTGGACGTTGAAAGCTCCGAAGGTGTTTGATACGTTGAAAACAGCGATGATGACAACATCAGTACTCATCTTACCCGATTTTTCTGATACTTTTTATCGTTGAGGCAGATGCTTCGGGACATGGGTTGGGCGCTGTTCTGATGCAGAAGTGATACGATCCCCAGATCGAGATTTCTCTAATTAGGCGATGGAACCAACCAAAATTTCAAAATCAACTCGTGATCGAAACCTAGGCTCAGACATTCCAAAGAACCGTCTTAAACCCCTATCAAAATAATGATAGAAACCTAGGCCCAGACATTCTAACGAACCGTCCTAAACCCTACCAAATCTGGACTAGAAATATCGGTATCGCGAAGACGCCACAAACCCTTATGAGCTAACGTTTGATAATGTGACACCCATAACCCGTGTACAGTATACGGGTTGTGCCACATGGACGATATAAAATAAAATAATAAAATGCGGAAGCAAAATTTCGAAATCCAAAAACATATTTAAATCAAATCAGAGTAAGCAGCGGGAAATACAACGCGATCAGTATCGCAAAATGATTCATGTCCGAATAGTCATAATACAACCGTACAAAATACGGAATTACAAGTCCCATAGGTCGGAATACGAATCCCGTACATGATGCTGCTTCTCTCACGTCGTCGTCTGCCGAAGCGCTAGGCGTAATCCTCGTAATCTGAAAAATATAAACTACGAGGGCTAAGCATAACTGCTTAGTGAGTAGCTCGGGTTAAACCCGGAAATCTCGTTCCCACTGAGAACGGTACAATTGACATTTCCATAAAACACATGCAATAAGCAAAAACACACTAAACACGTAAATGACAATCACAATCACGCCCGTATGGAGTCCACCATAGGGCTTAGCCGTATACCCTTGACTTGACTAGGGGTGCCTCCACGCCCGTCACTCGCGTGATGTTGGCCACCGCATCGCATGCGATCTTGCGCTCTCCTGCGCATGTCACTCTCGTGACTACCGATGTCAAATCCATGACACAACGGAAATACAAATATACCCGTATGGAGTCCACCATAGGGTCCAGCCATATACCCTAGTCCAGTCCATGACTAGGGGCGCATCCACGCCCGTCAAGTCCATGACGTTGGCCGTCGTGTCACACACGACTAAAACGCGTCTCAAACGCCCGTCAAGTCTATGACGTTGATGGTTGAGTCCACAACCATCCACAAACACAATCACGCTTAACTCGTACGCACGAGCAAGCTACATACATGGCACACAACGTGCAATATTCCCATAATACAATCACACGTATCACGGTATCCGGTCCCTACCGAGTTAACGTTCCACGCCATGCAATTCTACCCACAAACAATCATGCAACGATCACTCATATTTTGATGTCGCACATCTCACTACGCCACGCAACGTCCTGGCGAAAACTTGGCTCGATCGATCCCAATCGCGATGCTTTGTCCCTCTGGTAGGGTTTGATTCATCCGTCGTCAAGTCTGATCAGGCCCGGGCCAACCCCGTTGGCCGTTTTCTCTTTCCCGGTTAAAATTAAATTTTCTTCCAATTTTTCTGAGCCTGGTCCGGCGGACCTAGTTCTGGTCAGCCGGACCAGTTCTCTTCCTCCCCTGGTCCGCCTCGTCTCTTGGTCAGTCGATCCGAGAGAGAAAACAAGCCTGGTCCGGCGGACGGATCCATAGGAATCGGCACCTCATTTTTATGGTCCATTCGAAATTGCTGAGCGTGTGGGCAAGACTGCTTACCGTTTGATGTTGCCCGACGATGCTCGGATTCATTCGGTGTTTCATATTTCGCAACTGAAACTAGCGAAAGGTGACTCATTTAGCCCCACAGCACTGCCTCGGTGGCTCTTGAACTGGCGGCGATTATGGGTACCTGGTACAACCTTCATGGTTTCCTGGAAGTCTTAGTGGAGTGGGTGGATCTACCGAAGCATGAGGCTTCGTGGGAGCAAGCAGACATTTTCAATACCCAATTTCCACACTTTCAACTTGGGGACAAGCTGAAGCTTTACGCGGGGGTATTGATAAGTCCTTACGGGTGTATATGAGGAAGAAGAAACGCAAAATGGAGGAGAAAGATCACGAGGGGCAGGTGGACCAGGAAGCAGAGGACAACGGGGAACAGAGAGCAGACCCAGGTGTGCTACAAGGGATTAATACTCAGGAAGGAATCATTACCTAGGCTAATTATGTTATACCTTTTAGTATGCGTGGATGAAAGGTAGTAACGGATTGTGCCATCTCAGCATATGAGAGGGATGGTAGCTATATATATATTCCTATTTTCGTGTTGAAGGAGTATCGAGAAAAGTAGACGCTTGTGTATGGGGTGAGAGAGGTATGCCTCTCTGAATTTTGTATTTCTTTTGGTTTTCTGGAAATATCAGCAGCAGTTCATAATATTGTTCTTAACAGTTTCATGTATCTTGTTCAATCTCTTCTCATCTGTTTCTCTAAACGCTGTTGCTTCTGTTTGTTTCCTTCCTTCTTTGAAGTTGTGAAGCCTTTTTATGTTTTTCTGAATCGAATCCATGCAGGATACCGATAATTCATGGGGCGGGCCCATTTGATTTACAATGGAGTCACAAACCCCATTTATTTAATTAATTTTTTCATATTTTTTAATAAAATTTTAAATAAAATTGTTCAAAGCCTCGTAGTAAAATTAATTTCGTTCTTACGAAATTATATATACTTATCTTCAATTATAAATGTTTTGGGGTCAAATGCAGAGTCATCATTGAAATTTTTTTTTTTTGGTTAAATGTAAATATATACCAAAATGATCATCATTGAAATTTGTTTTTGGTAAAGATAATTATATAAATTAAAAGTTGATTCTGGAATAAATAGGAAACCCACCACCATCAACCCATTGTCCCAACTGTTATATATATATATATATATAAAAAAAAAACCCTATGATTTTAGCGTTTTACTTGTGGTCTATTAGGCGGGAAATTAAATGCCATTGATTGGCACGTACTTTTTTTTTTGGGTATGAATGGTTAATATTATATATATATGCTAAAGTTGAATACAAAGCCAGTAAGCTGTACGGATACCATGTTACAAAATGGTTATATCGTACTTATATAGACAATAATAATCCATAATCACTTGATGATTAATTATTACGACTCACGCAAATGTTGATTGAAAAAAAAAACCATTTATTTTTATATTCCTAATGTTGTTCATGAGAACGTTCTCGACGTACCAATGAACTAATCATACTATGTTCATAGAACAAAGCGGTCGCCTGTACACAATTTGAGGTATGCTTAATAATTGACAACAATCAGCTATCAATAGACTTGTATTTTATCTGATATGGTCTATCGTTCTTGACATAGCTTTTGAATATAACGTTAAAAAAAGAGGGAACTAAAGAGGCTAAGATTTCGATCACGGAATTCCTTATTACGCGCTTTCAATTTCACCACCCCATACCACAACTCGTAGAGTTGTTTGCAATCATAAGCAAATCCATAGATAGACATGCGACAAAAACTTATTAATTGAAAAGGTAGACAAACAAAAAAAACGAAAAAGTAAAAAGTTTTTGTAGTTCATTAGACAAAGATATCTGATCCCGTGATGATGCTTTGTTTCCGTCGATCGCCATGAAAGCAACTCTACCTGTTTTCAGCGTATTTGGACAGGGGTTGGCTCACCGTTGCTTCCGGTGCTCGCCGGAGTCGGCAGATACGTGGGTTTCACCTCGCCGGCCATTACCACCAGACACTTCTCCGGCATATCCACCGGAGTCTGCTTCGCCTCTGTGTCGTCTCCGGACTCGAGGTCGCTCTCTTCGGTGGGGTTGTCGTCTAGGTAGCCAGAGTGGCGGATAAGGACAGCAATGACGATAAGGCAGAGCATCGCCCCCAATCCGCAGAATAAGTCAGCCATCGGATAACGCAACGGCAAGTACGCCGACCCCAAGGCTGTCCTGTTGGTCTGTAGGTCCATTGTCGGAGTTTCTTAATTTCTTTCTTCTTCTTCGTCGGTTGGTTTAAATCCTCTTAAGGTCGACCAGAGAAAAAAAAAAGAGGTGTGGTTTAGTCTGTGTGGGGGAAGGTTATGGGATTAGGAGGGTAATCATAGAGGAGGTCTAGAGAATTAAGGTGGTGGATTATGCATGACGTGTAACAAGATTAATAATACAGATATCAAATCATACGGAATTATCAGTTCTTTTCATCGTATTTAGATGTCCATGGATCAAAATGTCCATATATTTTATATAAAGCGGATCTTTTATTAACCAACTTGAATCTGATGAAACCTTCCATATTATAGTTAAAAAATATATTGTGTTTATTGATTTATGTAGATGTACACTGGTAGGTACGATCATCATAAAAAACAACAACAAAAAACCAGCTAAAATATCGAAAAAACTATTCCAGCACAATCTCATATATATATATA